TGAGAATGTCATTTTAAAAAAGATGCTAGTATTCCTTAGAATGTGGAGACTACTTGGACTTGTAGGACAATAAAAGACTCTAGCAGTGTGAGGGGAAACATGCCAGAAAAGAAGGTACAACAGAACCCAGAGAGAGGGGACTTGGGGGAAGTGCCCCCCAAAGAGAGGGTGTACAAAGGGTTGCAAAACTGCTCCAAGTCAGCTACGCCAACTCAACACTGACCAGAAGTTCTAAATGCTTTGACTGGAGTTGGTGGGAAGGTATATAGGAACCCAGAACATCTAAAAACACTGAATTACATATGTATACATTTAGATTTATATTTGCTTGCATATAATGAAATCTCAATAGAATGGTGACTTAAATAAAGGTAATAATTGACTTATCATTCATGCAATAGAAATCTGGAGGTTGATAGTCAAGTATTTGTGGGGTAGTTCCACAGTTATCAAAAATCCAGATTCCTTCTGTCTTTTTGCTCCAGTATTTTAATTCATGGCTTCCATTCTCAAGGTATTACTTCATGGCCCAATAGGGTGGCAGGAGCTCCAACCATCATATCTGTTCCAGACTATGGGGAGGAGGAGAGGCAGAAGGTCAAAAGGTCACAAGCCCTTTAAGTAGCCTCCTTGGGAGTAAAATATAATCTATTTTATTGGCCAGAATTTGGTTACATTGGTCATTCCTAGTTGTAAAGGAATCCTTGAAAATGTTGTTTTTTAGGCAGGCACCATGCTGCTCAATATGAAATCAGGTTCTCTTACTAATGGAGCAAAGAGAGAATAAACAGCAGGTGGCAACGAGCAGGCTGACCACAGATTGCTTTATTTATTCTTGTTTTTTAAATCCTCAACATTCCTCTCCGAAGTCTCATATTGTCAAAATTAGTAGTTGTTTTGCTTTTCTCTTCTCTGGGTCTCACTTTCCTCATGTGAAAAAAAAAGTTAATCGAATTTAAAGTGTATAGTAAAAATAAATAGTAAGGTGATTGAAAATATTGTATGTATGTATGTATGTATGTATGTGAAAAAAGTGAACAAAGAACTGATAAACAGGGCAAAATAAATGTTTACCCAGCTCCAAATTCCTAGAACGAGGATGTTCTTAAGGAGGATTTCAACCTCCAATAAATGATGAATTTGTCCTTCTTGCATTTAAATCTCTCCCAGGGATATGAATTAATCCCCTCTAGGTCATTGAGGGACCTCTAAGCGCTTAGCTCTTGTGTAATTCTGCAAAAATGAGTAGCCATTAAAGTTGTCATCCTGCCTGACACATTACCCTAAAAAAATAGTATTTAATTTTTAGACTTTATGTAATTTGTATTCTTTAATCTTCTTCATTATTACCAGTTTTCTCAATTAAAAAAAATATCATATGCTAAAGTATTTCCAAGGTCTGAACAAAATGCTCTGTATACTATGAACTTTTTAATACTTTCATTTATTCACTCAATATCCATTTATTAAGCATCCATTACGTGTCGGGCACTGTGGCTTTGTTGTAAACACAAAACACAAGGTTACTTCCTTCAGGGAGTTTACCTTATAATGTGTGTGTTTGTTGTTATTGAGGGAGATAGACCATCAACAAGTAAATATGTATTTTTAAAAAAGGGAAAAAAAGTACTTGTGGATGTTTTGTGTAGTATCTTGATGTTTGCATTAATAATAGTTAAGTTCGCTTCTGAATAAAACTCCCATAATGCTAGATTTGATGTGTGCCCAATCTGAGCAAGGGTTGATTGACACCTGCAAAATTTGTTAAACTTTTCCTCTTGTAAGGAAATATAGTAATCTTAAATAAAACAAAACAAACAAAAAACAAGTAAATATATAAATGAACAAGATACTTCCAGATAGTGATAAGTGTAGGCTGCAGGATGACATGGTAGCATGGGATTGAGAGGGAGGGGCTATTTTATTTTATTATTTTTTTTCTTAAATATATTTGATTGATTTTTTACAGAGAGGAAGGGAGAGGAAGAGGGATAGAGAGCTAGAAACATCGATGAGAGGGAAACATCGATTCAGCTGCCTCCTGCACGCCCCCCCCACTGGGGATGCGCCCAGCAACCCAGGCACATGCCCCGACCAGAATCAAACCCGGGACCCTTCAGTCCACAGGCCGATGCTCTATCCACTGAGCCAAACCGGCCAGGGCAAGGGAGGGGCTATTTTAGAAGGGGAAGTCCTTGAGGAGCTAAGAGTAAATGTGAGACAAAGCCATTGACGAATGCATGATTTTACAATGAGCAGTTACTTTATGAATATGAACATCTGAAACATTTTAATGCAAAACCATTCTCTCTCCACTACATAAATGATGAAAATGCAATTTTTATTTAAATCAAGTATCAACAAAAAAGTATCCTTGCATTCACTAAGGATAACAAGTTCAGGAATACTAAAGATTAGATTTCTGCAATATTAGATTTATTTTGAAACCCAAACAGCTCCCAGCAGGTGTGCCTTCAATGACAAAAAAAATTCAGATACTTTGCTTGCTTAATCCCTATGCTAGTTACACAATATCTGAGTAATCTACAAAGTTTATTATCAGCAAACCGGCAAGGGAAATTTTTTAATAAAAATGAATCCATCCTAATTGTTCTTTGGAAAAAAGCTGTTTTCTTTTTTTGTGATTCATGATCTTGTAAAATCACACATGTGCAGGAAAAGAAAGTTGGCATTTGCCAGGAGCAAAGCAAATTTGATTAGATGTTCTAGTGGCTAGAACACATTTATTCATTCAGTGTTTATAATTAGCTTCCTCAGAAATATGAGGTGATATTGCACGTCTAGTGATGTGAATTTAAAACATACAGGGCTTCAGATTTGATCCCCAGTGTTAAAAGAAATAACACATCAACCTTCATCTACAAGAATAGATTTTTGGAAAATTAGATTTGATTCTCAGTATAGGATAATCATGACAGTAATTAGAGCCAAGTTTTTTGGTATATCTTCAAAATTTGAGGAGTTGAAATTCAGAAATAAAACAATAAGAAAGCATATGGGGGGAGGAAGAAGCCAGCAAGGAGATGTCAAAAAGATGTGTGATATCAATTTAAGAACCAATGAATTTTATAAAACGGAATCGTGAATGAGTAATACAGAGTAGAATCTGGACTCAGACAGGAAATCTGGTCTTGGGAAGTAGAGTATAAACAGGAGGTTGTGGGGAGGAATGGAAACTTCCAGGGGTATTTGAATTAAGTGATCTCTAGGTCCCCTTCAGCCCCCTATATCTGATTCTAAGGACACCCAACAGGTGTGCTAACCAGTTCTTAAAAAGACTTTAACTGAGATATAATGTGCAAAACTATAAAACTCACCTATTATAAGTATACAATTCATGGTTTGTAGTAAATTCATAGAGTTGTGCAACCATCACCACAATCGAACCTGTTTTTTTTTTAAAATGGGACTTATAGGGTAGAAGCCATGTTATTTATTTTTCTAGTATAAAGTTACATACGGACTCATTAAAATTGTAGAGCAATTCAAGGATGCAAAGATGATTCACTGAAAATATGTGTAGTTGACGTGTTCAGGCATTGCTCTACTGAAACAAATAGGGAGACAGAGAGGGAGGGAGGCTGGAGGAAGTGCAGAGAAATGGTTACCAGCCACACCCCGAGTCAGACTGCTGGAGCTCAGATTCTGGCAACCCTACTTGCTTCATAGCTGCCTGACCTCAAGCAAGTTACTTAAACTTTCTGAGTCTGGGTTTACTCATCTGTAAGTTGACAGCACCTACTTCATGGGGTTATGAAGGATGAATGAAATCATATATGCAAGGGGCTTAGCATACTCCTGGCATAGAAGAAATACTCAATAAATGTTAGCTACTTTTATAGTTATCACTTGATGACCATTAGTCTTTCATGAGCAGCCACAAAGGACTACATGCTCTGATTCAATTTATATGAAACTAGTAGCCCTGCGCACAAATCCGTGCACCAGTAGCTCACTGCCACCCTCCTGTAGCTCTCCGCCTGCCACCCCTCCCCTCATAGCTTGCTGCCCTGCCCCCTCCTGTAGCTCTCCACCGCCCTCTTATAGCTCGCTGCCCCACCCTCCTGCTGATCTGTGATCTGGTCATTACGCGGTTGGTCGTTACGTAATGACCATTTGCATATTACATCTTTATTATATAGGATTCTAGGAAAGGTAAATGATGGTGGTAGAAAGCAGATCAGTGGTTGCCAGAGGCCAGGGACTGGGGATAGGAAATTAACAGCAAAGAGGCACAGGAAACTTTTTTTTGGGGGGGTTTCTGTATTATCTTCGGGATGGTGTTTTGTAAACATTTGTCATCCAATTATACACTTAAACTTGGTGAATTTTATGGTATGTAAAATAAAGCTGACACTCCCTCCCCCCGAAATACAGCTTTGAATTTACCAGTTGGATACTTCGATTATTTTACATGTTAGAAGCAAGAATCAATTTCTAAACTCAGGCAACAAATATTTGTTGAGCACCTACTACATACAGGACACCCTATGTTCTAGGTGCTGGGATCCAGCCTTGAAGTAAACAGCATCCCTCATCGCTTATAGTTCAAGCACATATTATACACCTATGTTTGGGGTGACAGAAGGGGTCAGTGTGGGATGCTGGGGACATAAAGGTAACAAGGTAGTGGGAGGAGGGGTAGAGGAGCACTAAGTAGTATAAATATGTGTCCATGATTTTTCTTTTAGTTTTCACACATACTTGGAAGCAGCCCTAGCAGGTTTGGCTCAGTGGTTAGATCATTGGCCTGCGGACCAAAGGGTCCCGGATTCCATTCTGGTCAAGGGCATGTACCTGGGTTGCAGGCTCCTCCCTGGCCAGGGCCCTGGTTAGAGCTCCTGCAGGAGGCAACCAATTGATGTGTTTCTCTCACATCCATGCTCCTCTCTGTCTTTCCCTCTCTCTGTCATTCTCCCTAAAAATCAATGGAAAAATATCCTCGGGTTAGGATACAAAAAAAAAAAAAAATACACGGAAGCAAACACAGCATCCCTGTGTCTGAAGATGATGCCACTGACAGACCTATGACAGAGGCCTCTGGGTGACCGGTGACAGTGACACAAGGCACTCTGGCCACACCATCTTGTGAGACCCGGTGTCCACCTGCGAGGGAAGAGGACTGGCCTCAGTCCAAGGACCATGTGGACGCTTCAGAGGACCCAGGGGTAGCGCGGCTTTGACCTTGGCCTCGTCCAGCCAGCCCTCTCTGGGATCCAGGGAGCACCTGCCCTCTGCAGAGCGCTGGAAGCGGGGACCTCAGGTTCCTCACCGGAGGGTGGGCCAACCCGGGAAGCCTGGGTGTGCGAGGTGACCCCGCCCATTGAGTGACCCCGCCCACGTGGGGTCCAAGGCAGATGCGGACTGTGGGCAGAGACTCGTCGGGGGAACCGGGTTGGCCGAACCGTCTGAGCCGCGTGGGGGGGCGGGGCGAGGCCTGTGGGGGCGGAGCCCCGGCGAGGAGGGCCGCCCCTGCGCCCCTGGGGGAGATGGATGCTCCGCAGGTCCGCGGGCGCCGGGGGCGGGGAAAGCGCCTGTGTAGCTGCTCCCTGGCCCCGCCCGGGAGCCGGCGGGAGGCGGGGCTGCCCCCTTCCTCCCACACGGGCGCGGGGCTGAGCCCGGAGCGGAGAAGCGGAGTCGGCTCTGAGCTCCCTGCTGGGTTTTAGGTGGCGGCAGGCGGAGGAGGAATATGGCGCTCGTAGGCAACGGAGCCGAGCTGGAAGCGGACGAGGTACTGGCCGGTGGGGGGGGGGTCTGGGCACTGCGCCTGGACCCGGCCGGGATGGCCAAAGTCCCGCCCCCTTGGTCCCAGTTTGGGACCGGCAGCCTCCCGCCTGGAGGGATGGGCAGGAGCGCGGAAGGGAGGTCTGTCCCCGCGCGAGCGAGGGGGGTCCCCGCGGCGCTCGGAGCGGAGGCGTTGCCGAGGTTCGGGGCGCCGGCACCTTGGGGGTGTGTGGATGGGGGACACGTCGTCGGGTGGGTGGGTGCGAGGGCGTGGAGCTGTTCGGGGCGTCTCAGGGGACACCAGGCTTTATGAGGTCTGGCCCCCAAGTCCCGACGCTGGCCATCGCCGGTTCGCGCCATGGTGTCTTGAGCTGGGATAGAGTCTCACCTTCCATGGAAGTTTCCTGGTAGCAGAACCGAAAGGCTTTTGTAAAGTCGATGGGAGGAGGGGGACCGCCGGAGGAAGAAGAACCCCAGGGGTGTCTTCCTGGGTGCGAAGGGCAGGCAGGGGCTGCCGAAGGGCTGGGGCGCCAAGGGCCCGGAGCCGCCGCCCAGGAGCGGCGCTCTCCCTCCCCGCCGTCCCCGGGGCCCGGCCTTCCCCAAGCAGGTCCCCAGTGTCGGTGGTGTAGACAGAGAGAAGGCGCTGCGGAACCGACTCCGGCATCCTGTCGTCTCCACTGTATTGAAGTAATTAACCACTTCCTCCTGCGGCCGGCGCGCCCGGGTCTGGGCACCTTCGGCACGCGCGCAGGAC